TGAACTCCTCGTATGTGACCCCTTCCCTCTGCTTCCTTCCATCTTGGAAGGGCATGATCCATTGTCCTGCGAGTCCCCTGAGTAGAGATTCCACATATGGAATCTTAATTTCATCATGGTGATCTCCGTATCCCTTAACGGCGAAATATCCCTCGCATTGTGCTAAGAATATTCGTAGCTTATCATCGGCTCCTTCATATGTGTCGGGCTCCCTTGCTTTTAGTCGTTGGACATTTCCTTGCCCTGTATTTCGTATGGCCGCAAGAAATGCCTGAAACTGATTTTCAGTCATTCCCAGTATGCTGGTTCCTGGTGCCAGAGCGGCTGGGGCCGGTGGCCCAGGTACTGCGGATCCCGACATTCTCTCAGGTCGTGGAGTTCCAGCAGAAGAGCTATCGACTGGTGATCCTTTCTCTGGGGTTACTGGGCTTGCTGCTCTTGAGGGTTCTGCTGAGACGTGATCTAGGGCGTCGCTGAATCCTCCTAGATTAAGATTTTGATCATCAAAGTCAATATCTCCTTCCCTGTCTGGGTTGAAGGATGCCGTCTTGTATCGTTTGGCGTCGCACTAGGTGACGCTTTGCAATGTAACGATCCCTCTCTGGATAGTTAGTGCTTGGCGACAGGGAACGATACTTCTCTTCCTGTCTTCTTCTTCCTTTGTCTTTACGATAGCTCTAGGCCTCCGCCTACGTTACCGATAGTACAAGACCCTTGTCTTCTACTGGGAACGCCTATCGTAATCTTTCTCTAACTCTTCTTCGTAAAGCGCCTTCCTTGGCGTAACGATACCGTTGTAATAAAGATAAAGATCGTAAAGGTGTTTTATATTCGTTAAAGTAATAAGTAGGAAAAGTACTTAGAACAAAGCATGAAGAACCTATCTTCCTCGGCCGCATCGGCCTCCTTATATAGTATTCTTCCCGCTCATAGTCATGTGACCTAAAGTGGTCACATGTGCAAAAGCAAATCATAACAAACTAATCATGTGACCAAAATGATCACGTGTTCAAAACCCATGACCTTATAACGAGGTCATGTACAAAACTCATAAACCAATTATAACGCAATAAACAAGTCATATGACTCAACTGAGTCATACGTGCGAAACCCATGACCTCATAATAAGGTCATGTGCGAAACATAAATCATATGCGCAAGGCTTACCCGCAAGGCATACTTGTCCGGTGCATGTCCCATGACTCATACTTGAGCCATGTGCGAAAGCATCACTAATCCCACACATAACCAACCATATGACCCTAATGAGTCATATGTGTGAAACAATAACATACCTGTGACTCACAACTGTGCATCACGTGAAAGTCCTTTCCTCGCTAAGCCATATTCGTGACACCTGTACACTATAGTTTTTCCGAGTTACTTCGAACCATGTTTAATTTGCTTTCTTTATCGATTGCCCATCTTGCAAATCGTTCGGCTGTCGTATAGGGCAGGTCGGAGATTCCCCATACCTCTCGCAGTCTCTCACTGCAGTTTCTCCGGATGACGATGTAGAGAGTAGCATCATCAAACTCGGCCTCGTATTCCAATAGTCGGCATTCATTCCAGTATGCTGAGAATGTTTGTTTTCCTTGTTTGAGTTTTTCTAGCTTTCGGCTTGCTGTTTCTTTAGCGTTGGAATCTCCCAATTGTTCGAACAGTGTTGCCTTAAACTCTTCGTATGTGACCCCTTCCCTCTGCTTCCTTCCATCTTGGAAAGGCATGATCCATTGTCCCGCGAGTCCTCTGAGCAGAGATTCCACATATGGAATCTTGATCTCATCATGTTGATCTCCATATCCCTTTACAGCAAAATATCCTTCGCATTGCGCCAAGAATACTCGTAGCTTGTCTTCAGCTCCTTCGTATGTGTCGGGCTCTTTTGCTTTCGGTCTTTGGACATTTCCTTGCCCTGTATTTCGTGTGGCTGTGAGAAATGCCTGAAACTGATTTTCAATCATTCCAAGTATACTGGTTCCTGATGCCGGAGCAGCTGGGGCCGGTGGCCCAGGTACTGCTGATCCCGACATTCTCTCGGGTCGTGGAGTTCCTGCAGGAGAGCTATCGACTGGTGACCCTTTCTCTGGGGTTACTGGGCTTGCTGCTCTTGAGGGTTCTGCTGAGACGTGATCTAAGGCATCGCTGAATCCTCCTAGGTTAAGATTTTGATCGTCAATGTCGATATCTCCTTCCCTGTCTGGATTGAAGAATGCCGTCTTGTATCATTTGGCATCGCACTTAGGTGACGCTTTGTAATGTAACGATCCCTCTCTGAATAGTTAGTTCTTGGCGACGGTGAACGATACTTCTCTCTCTATCTTCTTCTTTCTTTGTCTTATGATAGCTCTAGGCCTCTGCCTACGTTACCAATAGTACAAGACCTTTGTCTCCTATCGGGAACGCCTATCGTAAGCTTTCTCTAACTTGTCTTCGTAAAAGACTTATCTCGGCGTAACAATAATCGTTGTAATAAAGATAAAGATCGTAAAGATGTCTTATATTCGTTAAAGTAATAAGTAGGAAAAGTACTTAGAACAAAGCGTGAAGAACCTATCTTCCTCGGCCGCATCGACCTCCTTATATAGTATTCTTCATGCCCTTAGTCATGTGACCTAAAGTGGTCACATGTGCGAAACCAAATCACAACAAACTAGTCATGTGACCAAAGTGATCACATGCTCAAAACCCATGACCTTATAGTGAGGTCATGTACAAAACTCATAAACCAATCATAACGCAATAAACAAGTCATATGACTCGCCTGAGTTATATGCACGAAACCCATGACCTCATAATAAGGTCATGTGCGAAACATAAATCATATGCGCAAGGCTTCCCCGCAAGTCACACTTGTAAGGCATACTCATCAGGCGCACATTCCATGACTCATACTTGAGCCCTGTGCGAAAGCATCACATATCCCACACATAACAAATCATATAACCCAAATAGGTCATATGCGCAAAACAATAACATACCTCTGACTCATAACCATGTGTCATGTGAAAACCTATTTCATGCTAAGCCACGTTCGTGACAGACAGCTTCAGGGCTCCTGTACTTTATCATGCATTAGAACAGAAAATAAAAGGATAATAAAAATAAAATAATAAAAGAACCTCCAGTTCAGACTCCTCACACAACCACTTAAGTTCTTTCCTATAATATAAGTTGAATCAATACTTTATATACATCTTCAATAAGAGCTATATGAGAAAAAACTCTTCCTTACAAGAAGCAACACGAGTACAAGACTATTATTGTTATCAGAAGTGATAGTAATAATAAGAGTTCTCTGAGCTGTTGAGATATCGAGAGAATGGAAGTGGTAATATTGTTACATTGTGAGAACTAAGTAAGAAGGAATAGGATCATTACAACAACTCTGAGTCTATACAGGTTGTCTCCCCCTAACAGTTGTCTATTGAGGAGACCAAAACAACTCTATGGAGCTGCAGAAGGAATCCATTGTAATTACTTACCACAAACCTTATTCCTAGCTGTCAGTCATAATAAAGTGAGAAAATTCAACTGTGTCAAAGCTAAGTCAGGTCTATCAAGATAGAAGAGAAAAGCAGACAGTATCAAGAGATACTAGGAAAGGAAGAGGATGAATCCAAAGGTGAAAACACTAGAGGGCAGAGGTAGGGACAGTCTTTCAAAGTGGAAGAAAGATGAAAAGTGATGGCCTGCTCTCCCTGGGCCCCATGTGGGGTGGAGTAGGTAGGAAAAGTAGCGATAGTAGTACCTAGTATTGAGTCATACCTGATAAAAAAAAAAAATTTCAAGCGTTGTAGTTATAATAGAAATGAAGTTGTCTATATGCCTAGCAAAGTTAAACATATTTGATAACGACATTGTATTATTATAGTCTTTCAAATAGCATTTGGAGAAATAAAAAACAATTATCATGAGTTCTTTGATTTCTTTATCAAAAATAGGACATGTCTTCAGACTAAACTAGATGTTTATTAACGACATAATTGAATAATTTGTTGTTTATTTGTTACAGTAGCCTTTAGACAATACCTTAAATGCCTTAATTTTTTCCTGAATTTGAGATTACCTAGTACTGACTCAAGAAAATAAAATAAAAATGATTCGTTATGATACTGTACTGTACTCGATCACTTGTAACCAAGCAACTTCTTACAGCACAAATATATCGCATCGTCCTACTCAAATATAGCAGAGCCAACGATTGCAGCAGTTAACCCAATGCGCTAATGCGCGTACCGGTACGCCTCACTTTGAGTTGTGCTGGCAGACGCGCCATTTTTTGGTGCCCCCTTTGATGATGCCGTTGTGTGGAAACCATTCCAACCTTTCAACCTCACTTTTCACCCAAACAGAAAAACAAAATGCTGACTGATATCGACAATTCATGTGTTTGAGTCCTCGAATATGTGGTTCACCCTCATCATCCTTGCTTGACACCCCTCACCCTTTTTTTTCTATTCCACACCCCTTCCCCTCCTCCTCTTCCCCGAGGGCGCAAAAAAAAAGCAATATTGCATCAATCTCTCACTCTCCCTTTCGTAGATGCATGCACCGGATTGATTTGTTACAGTCTGCTCCTTTCTTTTTCCTTCCCTTTCATCATGATGATTCCGGGGAACTCGCGCCCGCCCAGACTTTCGAACGAAGGAGAGGAGCACAGAGGGAAAAAGGGATGAGAGGGAAAGAAAAAAATAGGAATACCGATACAACGTGAGGGGTGAAAAGCAATGGAAAAGAGTTTGCTCCCAGAACATTGATGCTTGCTGTCTCAGACAATGGGAGAGAACTGGTCTGCAAGAACTGGGGTAAGCGCGGATGGCGACCGGAAATCCCAGCCAACAAGGCCGGTGCGGAGGCCATCCAGGAGGAAGAACTGGCACACGACCCCTCTGACCTCTGTGCGTGCAACCCAACCAAGAAGAGAAGAAAAAAACTTCGTTCTTTTCGAACGCCCAGAGAAAGAAAAAAAGGAAAAAAAGGGAGAAAAAAAAGGAACAGTGTCAAGACATCGATAGACCGACCAGACCCTCCTACCTGCTGGTTTCTCTAGCGAGAGCTGAGGACCTGTGGGTTAGAGACCTCACTCGGCTTGCGACCTGCCCGTAGTTCTCCTGCACGCAGCCCTTCCCCACACGCTACTTACAGCAGCCGGTTGCCCTACTAAGCTTTCATCGTCGTCGACGAGCTTTCTCCTACAATATCCACTGCCATTCGTACGTTGCAGGCTGTAGTTCATCTCAAATCCTTCCTAAGTCCCGCCGGAAAACAACGAATGTGATAGAGACTTTCGGGAGATATCAAGAAAGGCTAAAAGGGAAAAGAAAAAAAAATATCCACCAAGAAAAGGAACCCGAAGATATCGAGGGCAACGTGAGAGAGAGAGAGAGAGAGAGAGAAAGGAAAGGGAAAAAAGCTACCAAAAACAAAGGGAAGGCGAGGAAAACAAGAGACATAATCACGACTACTGCGACTAGACACCCGCTGCCGATATCAATACAATACAATACAATACAATAACTGCAATGGCATCCCCGCCCCCTGCTCCTCCTCCTGACGAAACAATATTGTCAACGTCGTCCATCTTCTTTTCATTTTCACCGGCCCCGCTTCCTGGTATATTCTCCTTTACATCACCACCGCCCGCCGCAACCACAGTATCGTCCTCGTATTCATCGTCGTCATATCCTCGAAAACGAGCACGACCACTGGCGGACATCGATGGGCTGGATGGTGATTTTCGTGACTACAACAAGAAACGTCGGTTACGACTGAGACTTATCACCTCGCGACTGAGCGAACCTTTCGCCGTCCCCCCAACAAACATACTTGATCGAGGAAATTGCTCTCGAGTAGCGTTATGGGCAAAGACGAGAGCCGTTTCACGGAACGTTTTGAGAAAGGCGGCTATACTGAACAAAATAAAAAGAGATGCTATGGCTGCGAGGGCTGCTCAGGAACGGCAGGTTGAGATAGCCAGGCAACAATTCAGGTAGAAGAAACCATCCAATATTCCTCCATCCCACGCTACTTTACTTTGCCTTTTGCTTGCCCGCCTTGAGAAAAGAAACAGAGCTTGACATTATCACACTATTTGATTTTTTGAACCTTTTTTATATTTTTTTTCTTTGGATGAACGAGAGCATATGAATCTGACATATATTATTTGTTACGATCCAGAGAAAAGATTGCAGCGGCTGCCCAATCGAGTCCCAAACGAAATCACGTAGCCCAGTTTCACCCACCGCTAGATCAAGGAGCATGTATAGTGAAGCCTCGAAAAACGAAGGGCTCGAAGAGCTCGCAGCACTCAAAAAAAAATCATAAATCAGACTTACCGAGTATACCAGACCCCTACGGGATCCCAAAACATCGGCGACCGCCAACACCTCCCAGTGAATCAGAGCTGGATTGGCAACGACGGGGCATGGGCTTGGGCATATGAGTGAATCGGAAATCAAACAAAAAAAAAATCGAAATTAAAAAAATCAACCTTGGTGAAAAGTTCTGGGAGGGGGGGTTTTTTTGTTAGATGTCTCTTCTTTGTATTTCTCTCTATTGATCTTTTTTTTTTTTTTCATTTTCATTTTCCTCGTGGTGTTGATATTTCGAGTGGGGTAACGGGAACTGGTCATTTGGGAGACGCGGAGTAATGGAGCCAACTTTTTGGGGGGAAAACCAAAACAGGGTTTTTTTTTTGTTCCTTTCTAGTTTCTGTTTAACCTCTTTTGCTTTCCCTCTTCTCTTTCTCGCTCGCTTTGCGGACATGTACAACGGAATTTTTTTCTTTGCGCTTTATTGGGAGGGGATTCGTCAAATTCTGTATTCTGTCATCCTTATTTGTTCTTGTCATAACTCTTTCTGGTGGCTTTTGTTCTTCATACGGTTTTCTTGGGCGTGAGTTTGTTGGCTCTATCTCTAGCAATGTCGCACACAGCCTGCATGTATTCCAAATTTTTTGTACGTTAGTTAACCTCGCAGCAAAATCCGGGGAAGTGGGGAGTTGTAGTGATAGTGGGGGATAAGGAGAGGAAGGGATACGATGATAGGGGGAGGGAGTAACGATTAGTGGGAGGAAGGAAGAAAGGTGGAGGGGAGAGTGTTAGGAAAGGGCGGAGGGCACTTTGATGGCTTCTTCTTTCTCAGCTTCGATATCGCATCGAGAGATTCTCCTTTCCATATCTTTAATGATGATTTGCCTGCCATGACCGTTGGTAAAGAAGCTTTTATCTCAAGGGTTAGTTTGAGCGAAACTTTCTAACTCGTCTTTGGAGTGATCGTCGTAGTGATGAGCTGAGTTGAGCAATTGGGCAGTGACCTACATATATCTCATTCCTACCAATTCGTAGAAACAACTTCACATTAGCCCCAAAACTACCAACTCAGAGCTCAAGACCTTTCCCCTCCCACCCCAATCACAAGACGCAAAACGCGAAAGACACGATAGCCACCAAGCCGTAGATCAAGAAAGGATAGATGATAGGAATTTAGGGAAACTCACCGGGAAATCTCTTCTCGTACTCCTCATTCAGCCTTTTGAGGGCCTCCTCCTCCTCAGGATTAGCCGTCGCAAGGCCAGCCTGCTCCCCAGCCGACAACTCGCTCTCAATGTTCTTAGCCCCCAACCTTGGGTGCGCTCCGAGTATCTTGAGTAGCCATTCCGTATTCTTGGCCGTCTTGCTCCCATTCAGGTCCGCCAGCAACCCGTACACGATCCCGACGAGGTCGTCATAGCTCTCGAATGGTCCGGCGGCGAGGTACTCGAGTGCGAGGGTGTCGAGCGCTGGGCAGGGCTCGAACAGGGCGCTGAGTATCTCTTTGTGCTTTCTCGTTGAGAGTGTTGGGACTGTGTCTGCTGGGGGGAGCTTGAAGGATGTGGTATTCATGTGTGTGTTACCTTTTTCTTGTTTTTTTCTGTTTTTTTCCTTCTATTTTTATTATTATTATCGCGGGTGGTAGTGGGGGGTTTTCGTGTGTGTAAGTTTGGTGGGTAGATATTATAGATGGTATTAGGCGATTCAATTAGACTTTTCTCCCCCGGCCGCGAGGAGTTTTTTGATTTTGTTGTTCGAGGGAAGAAAAAAAGGTCAAATAAAACTGAGAGAAATAGAAATAGGGATATCCTATTCCTTTTTTGCGGTGAGGTGATGTGGGATGTGGTGTAAAAAGGTGTAGATAGTGTGATGGTGGTGGTAGATGGATGGCGGCAATTGTCGATAGTTGATGGTGATAGCGTTGCGTGTACGCATGCAACGGAGTGCTCTGCTGGATACCCTTCCGTGCGAGGGGAAGGGGGAAGGTAATTTACAATGATGGGTTTTGAGGAGATGATAGATGGATGTGGTGAATTGGGGGGAGTTTGATCGGTCTTCTAAGACTGCCGTGGAAGTATCTTGGTGCTAGCAGTCGTGGAGAAATAGGAAGAAAACCACACAATGCAACACAAGAGGACAATGCCCAGCTCGCGGCGGCTGAATGGGATAAAAAGAGAAGGAACTGTTGGGCGAGAGTGGAAGATGGGTATGTGAGCAGTAGGAGGAGCAGGAGCAGGAGCAGCAGAGAGATAGGTGAAGGTTGTTCGGGAATAAATAAACTGGTGTAAGGAGCCACGCTCACTCTACTCTTAGAGGGGAATCGTTTGCTTTGCTCTGCTTTGCTCTGCTCGCTGGTACTTCTCCGCGCTCAGCTTTGTCCTTCTCCATTTTTTCCCGCCATCACTTAATCCCGCTTTAGCGACGCCATTGGTCATTGACTTTATCCCTCTCAACCGGAATATATGCCATACAGAAACCGATAAAGCAGAGGAGGAAATATTTTGGTTCAAACCAATGAATGGATGAAGTGTACGAAAGTATCGGGACTTTTTGTTATTTTTTTTTTCTACCCTTTCCCTTTTCTACCGGTATTTTGCCTAGCTGTCAATGGTTGTTGTTCTCTGGGTGCCGGGATGCTGGAGAAGAAGCAAAGATAGAAGGAGTGGAGAAAAACAAGCACCAACGGGGCGGGCCTCGGCTTGTCCCGCCTAACGGAAACAGCCCTCCCACGCGAGAGCTCCCTTGCAGATCTGGCACTGGCGTTACTACCCTGTACCCCCAATCTCACGGGCACACGTTCGAGGAGAATTAAAAGAGAGAAAGAAAAGAAAAAAAAGGGCCAGAATCGTTGTGTTTAAGGTACACTACCGGTAGTATGATAGCGTGGGAGAGAGCAAATGAAATTCGTGGCACAAACGATGAGTTGGGACATAGAGGCTCGTCTTTGCCGTTGTGGGTGTAGGCGGTGGTCCGGTCCGGTCTGGTCTATAATTCAGTGCATATGGGCTGCCGCAGATATCCCTTTTTCTTCATCCCCAATGATGTCATGTTATTACGGAATAAGTGTTCTATATACGATACACCCACCTCAATATGCTCCTACAGGATATAATATACGCCTTCCCCCAAACCATCTGCCGTTGACAACCAGCCGTTCGTGGTGGCACACTGATATCATGCTTTGGATTAGGGGTTATCCCGCTACTTCACAGGGGCACCTTAACTCCGGTGACTACTTCATCTAGGACGCCTTGAACATCAACATGCCTCAAATACTCCGCAATCGCGCTTGGCCGACTTCCCCAAAGTATACTTCGCTCGCCATCGGGATGCTGAACAAGCTCAATGCGGTGGCTGTAGGCCTTGTAGACTCCAAGGCTTGCCAGCGATGGGGTTACGAAATCTAAGCTATGCAGTGGCGCGAGGCATCTAAGTCTTGTCAACAAAAATAGTTTTCCCCAATCAATAAAGGGCACTAGGGGAGTAACAGACGAGAGAGCATACGTGGGCGTGGGGACCTACCTTACTAGTTCCTCAAAGTCCTTCGTTGCCCTAGCAGAGATGCCGCCTGCTACCGCTCTATGCATCCTCAGGAAAACGACTAGATCGAACATATACCTCCTAATCTCAATGCTAATCGTCACATCGTCTGCCATCGACTTTATGGTATCTACCATATCTTTTGGAACTAGAATATTTTTTCTGGCTGGTGGAAATCTCGGGGCTCGGAAAGGAGGTGGAGTTGTTGGCACCTTTCGAATAACAACAGAGGCTAAGGAGTCGACATCGGATTGCTCGGACTCAACTTCCCGCTCCACCTCTGGGAATCCCTCGTCAGAGGGGTGATGATGAGAAATGAAAAAGTAATCACACTATTCTACTATCAGCTTCTTCCTTGATTTAACTTTGGATTTGGGATTCACCAAGTGGCTAGAAAGACTGGACTCGTCATTGGGTTTTCCAAGTAAAGCAATCAGGAGAAATCGGTTGGGGGCACAGTGAAAGTTTTTCTTGCTCGTGCAGAATCGTTTGGTTCTGATAAGCTGTTAGCTATTAGCTTGATTCGGTGTCCTCCTCTGGAATCTCTATATATATAGCCTACCTCTAATGCTTGAGTCTGGACCTGATTGCTTGCAAGATCGAGGTCCTGTGCAATAATAATGTTGGCAAGCTTACGGATACCACTTGTGCTCTCGTGGTGAGTACCCTGTGAGGAGGTCCGTAAAAGGCTTGAGCGGTTTCGTGTGCCAAAGTAGGATTCTCCAGACTAAAAGCTATAAGCTAGGTAAATGAGAGGTAAAGAGCTTGACTACCTCACGGTTATTCACAGGCGATATGCCATGTGAGGAGGGTGAAGGTCGGGTTTCGTCGAATAGCAACGGTTCTATAAAATCGTCAAGAGTGGTATCAGGAGTGCACTGAACGGTCGCCACCGTAAGTCCAAATACGGCTGGCCCGAGCTGCCGAAACATCAGAAAAACCCCAAGACTTCAGATAAACACTCACTAGCTCAATCTGCTGCCGCAAAAGCTCCAAGCATTCTGGCTCTGTCGTCAGAATACAGTGCTTTCCAGCGACCAGTGATAACAGCACCGCAAGCTCAACATCGTTAAGCTGGTGGACCAAATCCGAAATGTGTTCTCCGTCCATACATGCCGTTTCAGAACAATTGTTCGTGGGTGAGGAAAGTGGGAAGCAAGCTCGCGTGTGAAAAAATTTAAGCTCGTCGGTAGCTTCCGCAAGAAGCAAAGCTATCGAGGTTCCGGTTGGATCTGTCGGCGCACTGAGAATTCTAAATAGTTACCCGGCTTGGTGTCACAACTTCACCCAACCACATTTTCATCCGTTCTGCATCCCCCCCGCCTATCCTTGATCTTGCGGCCAGCATCATGAAGTTGACCAAAAACCCCCAGGAATTTGTGGACGAGTCTCTACTGTTACTAAATGCTCGGCATTCGACTGTATGTTTAGCTTGGCTTTAACTCGTGGCATGAAGCTAATTTTCTTCTAGACTATAATTACGACTTCATACCATGCTGCTCCTACTGGAAAAGGCAAGCTTACTCTCAAAACTTATGATCCTGTCTCCGGCGCTCTTGTGAAGTTTCGGACCTCTAAGATCGCAGTCGTGGGTCGGTTGGTCGCTGGATTGAATAGGCTTGGAAGACAGCAGGCTGGGGTTTCAGAGCCTACGGTTACAGGTACGAATTTGGTTACCGCTCTTGGTGGTTTGTGGGTGGTTGCAGGTTTGTGCGGTTGGATTTGCAGTTAATGACTTGGGGCAGAAACTCGAGTGGCAGAAGCTCCCTCTGCGCCTAGTACCTACGCACCAATTCCTAGACAGGCAGTGACTTCAAAGTCAAAGAAGAAGAAGAAGAAGGGAAAGTCATAACGGCACCATATGTTTAGTGTGGAGGGATATACCTAGCAGAGTGTAACATACCGGTATTGTCGTCGAGGCCGACGGCTCGGAGGTCTTTTACCGTAAAAAATTAAATAAATGAACCGTGTGCTATTAAGTCCAAAATCCCCTTCTCCGGAAAGGGGGGTGAAAAACAGAGCAAAAGCACAGCCCCTTCCCCTCTTCCGAGACATAATTTTTTCTACTTCTTGACCTTACTAAAGGAGGAAAGCCCAATGATCTAGCACACGGTTCAATTGCTCAAGTTTCCACGGTGTACAAGGTCACCATCGTTTGGACTTCAAAAGGAGTGTGATGGAATATGGTGGCGAAACACTTTTGCCTTAATTTCCGGAATGTTTGTGATGAATTGGTGGGAGATGTTGCAAAAAAAATCATGAAACATCACTGGTGTTAGAACTGTCTGCTGCACTATCCTCTCATCAAGATATTACCACTTTTTTTTTTTTTTTTGTTAAATCGTAGAATCTATTTGTTTAAAGGTGCAAACCTCCACTATAATAGCACAGCCCGGCTAAAGCATGGATCCTAGATACAAGGGCACCTCTGCAATAACCGCCCCACACTCCTGATTTAGTCTTTAGACATGTTGGTCAAAAACCTCCTCCACAGGCCTAGGGGAAAACAAGCCAGCCCAAGTTCCTCTGATATGGAACCAACTGCACATCCGCCTCCATGAAAGCTCCTTCTGCACAAAACAAAAATAGCACAAAACAGGACCAGCAGGAGCCAATAAGAAAACCCACAGGGTATTCTCTTAAGAAAGGGAATACAAAAAAAACCCAACAAAGGAAACCACCTTGATAAACCACATTCTCCATTTTTCAGCCGGTCCAGCCTTGGCTAGCTGCTAGGAATATAGGGGAGAACCATAATACTTTCGCTTCATGTAATGAAGGCAGCCGACCTGGATGTGCCGGCCTCTAGTGGAGTGATCGTTTATGGCTGGTCAGATGGGTGTGTGACCGGAGGCAGTGCAATACCAACTATGCATTGGCAAGTAACCTAGACATTGGTAAAGAAGTAAACCTGACCGAGCAAAAGAACCCAGAGAGGCAGAGGAGTATTTGCAACCTCATACAGCTTAGCCAAGGTGGCTACCATGGAGGGAGGTGGAGGACAGGAACCACAATTTGGCAAAGGAACTAAAGCCCAATAACAGAGGGGGTGTAACAATCCCTCCTTGGATGGTTAGGTTTTGGCAACAGGGAACGAAACTTCTCTTTTTCTTACGATAGCACTAGGCCTCTGCCTACGTTACCAATAGTACAAGACCTCTGTCTTCTATCGGGAACGCCTATCGTAAGCTTTCTCTAACTCTTCTTCGTAAAGAACTTTCCTTGGTGTAGCGATAAGGTTGCAATAAAGATAAAGATCGTAAAGGTGTTTTATATTCGTTAAAGTAATAAGTAGGAAAAGTACTTAGAACAAAGCATGAAGAATCTATCCTCTTTGGCCGCATCAGCCTCCTTATATAGTATTCTTCCCACCCATAGTCATGTGACCCAAAGTGGTCACATGTGCGAAATCAAATCATAACAAACTAGTCATGTGACTAAGGTTGTCATATGCTCAAAACCCCTGACCTCATAATAAGGTCATGTGCAAAACTCATAAACCAATTATAACGCAATAAACAAGTCATATGACTTGACTGAGTCATATGTATGAAATCCATGACCTCATAATGAGGTCATGTGCGAAACATAAATTATATGTGCCAGGCCTACCCACAAGGCACACTCACAAGGCATACTCACCAGGTACACTCCCATGACTCATATTTGAGCCATGTGCAAAAGCATCACAAATCTCACACATAACAAATCATATGACTCGAATGAGTCATATGTGTGAAACAATAACATACCTGTGACTCATAACCATGTGTTACATGAAAACCTTTTCCTCGCCAAGCCATATTCGTGACAGGGGTGAAAATTTTGTTTAGCCCCACGATGAGGTTTGGTGTTCAGGCCTATGAAGCTTCCAAAGTTCAGCAATGGAGAGGGGATCGTGAGGTGGTAGCATGTGGTGTTGACACCCGCCACCACCTTCCCAAACAGGAAGGTGAAAAGCGGGGTCAGGAAAATAGCGGAAGAGAAACTTGTTAAGATATTACCACAGGGCATACGAAACTTGTACGGTACACGTCTGTGATGGTGTCGCTATCGTACATGGACAATTACGCACCGGAGTCTTGATAACAATATAGACATGGAGATGCACGGACCCATTACACATTACACATTAGGGCGTACTAACATTGAATAGTTCCCCCCATATTTGTTTCCCTTCCCTTCCCTTCCCCTCTCCTTCCATTCGACTGCTCACTTCACCCCCTGACACACAAATCTCATCAGGTCTGATTGATTCTACACTCTGCGTGTCGTACTTTGTCATGTTCGATTCTTCCCTCTTCAATCGATCCACTTCACTCCGTGAAACCTCCTCTTCGGTCATTGCCATACCACACAACGTTTAGTGAATACAGCTATGAATAAATCTCGATACAGTAATCTGTATAACTTCCTTTCATTTGCACGATAGTTCGGGCTCTAGTCATGAGTCGACTATTAGGATTATCACTGCGTAAATTTTTCTCAAAGGGGCCGCGAAGTCTGGGAGTTCAGGAATCCTTGATTTCCATAATGTCGGGTCAATCATACCAACGACCGTGCACGCTATACCATGTGGAAGAACTTCAAATGCGACAGACAACCAGAAGGTTTCCAATCTTGACTATCAGGTATCGTACGCATTCTGGGATTACAATAGTAATTAAGGATGGTATGATAGTACCAATGAGCTAGTTGGAACAGCTACTGCTACTCTAAATAAGTAATTGGTTATCAGAAGGTCTGCTCGGAACAAGTTGGTGAGAGTTTGGTGACTATTGGTTAAGCTTTATGAGAAAGGTAATCGTGAGAGGGGGTCAACTTATATAGTGCTGGTCGTGATGGGGCATGTTCATGGTAGAGAAAAAAAGGGGGGGGGGATAATCGAACGCCTGCTGCATTGATCTATGATTTTTATTTGGGAAAATATGGGCTAGAAGCCAGGGCGTTTTATATGCGAGTCTGGGGCAATGGCTATCATATCATACCTACAGGATGTAGGCAAAAATGGTTAAGTCACACAATTCCAGAGGTGAGACATCTCTGGAACGCGGATACCATCCTTTCTGACCGGTAGATCGCATTGGGGGTTTCTTTTAGCACAGGCAAACGCTTCTCTTAGCAATAAATGCGTAAGATTTCGCAGTCAATTTCAAAGCTTCATCCCCCGAGTGAGATTTAGTGAGGATGATTGGAGGAAGTGCGCGACAACCAGTATATACGCCCATACTCCACCCGTTCAACAAATTACCGAGACTCGATAAAAACCCCCCAAAGGTTCGATAATTCGAAAATTCATAGCCCAGAACATACACCGGATGTGAGGGAACATGCCAAAACTTCAGGCCGAGCCGGTCACACAACCCAGAGCCGGCGAGAACTGCTCCTCGTCTAAAACCGTTCTTGCTTCTAGGCTAGATTTCAGCCAGTCTCTTGTTACGATTCGGGGGATGCGTGGGCGCCTGGGAATTACAGTGAGTGAGGGCGTCGAACAAGAAGAGTGCTAGATATATACCATTTTATGGCTTCCCTGAGTTCGTGGAGTCGTTGTTGGTCGTGGGAAGCTATGATGTGTGTTATTTCCGTGTCTTGGAGGTCGAGAGCGATACGAGCCCCAGCAAATAGGGCTAGGAGTGGTGATGGTTTGAGGCTGGAAGGATTTGGTCAGTAACGGTTAAGAATTTTGGGTCAATTGGGGTATACTTTTCGTTAACTTCTCCTTGACCTTCCCTGTCGACGTAGATAACAAAGGTCTTGAACATCCAGCCAGGGAGCTCACCGAGCTCCCGCTGGTCATGCTCACTAAGGCCCTTAACGAACTCCGACGCAAAAGTCCTATCGAAGGCTCCGGGCATATCTCGGAGGAGCTGGTGACTGGGTTAACTATCTTGAAATTCGAAAACAGGGAGATGCTTACGTTACTTATTTCTTCCATGGTGAGGTCTCGGGCATAGCTATCACCAAATTGGTCTACGCTAGCGGCTGCTCGTCTCTCTACACCACTGGCAGCGTGTAATATGTGCCTAGGGGCGCAAGAGCGATTAGTAATGATACCTACAATAGCGATCGAAGTACGCATCCTATACCTCGCTTCAATAGGAATGATGTAGCAGCCTTTCTGACCACGTTGTAGGTCTAGCTCATGCTGCCGAATACAGTCGAAAATCCACGCGGGGCGAATGACATCGTGAGTTCCTTTCTTTTTGAGGGCGGATATTTTGACATTGTCTAATGGATTTCAGACAAAATATCTTGTGATTTATGAGAGTTGGAGGGAGAAGCCTTACTCTTATCTCCGATAACATTTGTATCCGGAACTGCGTTCTCGGTTTGATATAAATTCCCACCGTGAGACTTGATGAGTTGTTCGACCTCAGCCTTACCCATTTTTTTGGGAGTTGTGGCGTCGGACATGACATCTATGGTAGAATCAGTAATCGAAGCAGTGGGAATAGGTATTGGTAGGTTTACAAAACGAGCGCCCTTCGAAGAGTCGTGGACCACCCTCAACCGTTGGTGAAACAAAGTCCGCGGGTTTATCACTTGCCCCGAGAACAGTATATTCACGTTTCATGCGTTTCCCGGCTCTCCGTGTTCGGTTCTCAACCTCGATTCTTTTCTCTTCATCTGCCTTTTCCTTCTCAACCTCCTCCTTGAGCGCGATGAGCTCTGAGATACTAAGTGCGGTTTGCCAGTCCTTGTCCTCGCGTATCTGCCTGAATCGAGGAAACCGCAAGGATTTGCCTACCCGAAACTCATCTGTTGGGACAATGCTAGCCGCCTTGACCTCCAGGACTATAGACTTATCGGGTCTGATCCAGACGTCGGGCTGGTCAACGCCGCGCCCACCTGCCACAATCTCAATGTGTTCGCTGGGTGGTTTTTTGGGATCCCAAGGGACCCATTGGGAGTCGGTCATATGAGCGATTTTAGAGTAGTCATTTGCAGTGAACCCACCACCGACTTTACAGAAGGAACGGAATTTCATTGGATCTTCCCCAGGCTTGAGATGGTTCCCGTCCACACGCAGCCCGCAGAGATAACTCGATAGGATACCACCTCGTGTGCCACTACCCCAATAACCGCCCAAGACGACTAGGTCGAGTGATTCGCCAAACTCTGTCATATATTCCGGTTTGACTTTCATCCAGTCATCGTTTCGGTCGTTAAGACGGTATATACTCCTTGGGTTCTTTCAGCGCATGAGTTGTGATCATAGATTCGCACTCGATCAATATTAGGAAAGGTGCAGACCTTTATTACCAGTCCCTCGCTAGCCTCAGCAATGACCTTTCTGAGGGCTCTTTCAATTTCAACAGCCTCTCGAGCCTCCTCGTATTTATGGACCTCCATCCTACGGTCTATAGTTTTGACGCTTCGCTCGAGTGCCATGCGTCTATCCCGCAGGGAATAGTTGATTAGGCATCCACCATTCAGGTGAAGAATATCGAATACCTTGACTACAAGTACGGTGAGAAAATAGAGGAAGATGTTAAGCAAGGTAGATGATATAGTTACATAAAGGCCGAGGGCCATCACCAAACGGGTTCCTGATCCCTTCAAGCGCTGCGGTTTTAAGTGTTCCAAAGGCAACTATACAGTCCAATCTTGGGTCCCAAGTAATCATCTCACCGTCCAGGATGATGCTATATGTTTGGTCAGAATTGATACGAGATGATCGATGCGGATGTACCTTTTAACGCCATCGTCGAAGGCGCCGCGAAGGTGTCTCGTTAGGCTCCCATCATCGAAACAGGAGCCATAAAGCCTCGTGTAGTCTTTAGCTTTGCGACTCCAGAACATGAAATTGCCGTTCTCGTAATGCATTTGCATCCGCTCGCCATCTAGCTTTTCTTCAATCCAGAAAATGGGGTCTTCAGGAGTAAGATGCATAGCCTTGACGGCGTCGTCCAACGAGCGTTTCTGAAACTGAGCTAGTTGCGGTTGGAAGCATGACATTAGAGATACCGACTTGCCCTGTAGGGAGGTAAGTTAGATTCGCAGGGATAGGTGAGAGGAGCACGAAGGGAGAAGTGCACATCAGAGTCCATGCGGAACTCGGGATCCGAGAGTTCCCAGCAGACACGCTTGAGTGACGATGATATATTGAAGAGAGCAGCGGCATCGGGGTGCCAGGCACTGAGTACGAGAATTAGCTAGACAGATTACCTCGAGGGGGGATATATAGTCCGCATTCACACAAGGAGACAGTGCAGTGTGAATTTTGAATTAGGGTAGTAGAAAAATAACTGGACTCACTCAAAGAAGGTTCTTTCGGTGGCACCAACTTTCATTTCTGGATCCGATTGCACAATTAGTAAACATTTCAGTCGTCACAACAGGAAAGGGCCGATTCTACGTCTCATTATGATCCTAATCAACCACATTAGCTCGCTGGCATTCATGTTGTTGTAGAACTCAGTCATTATTGGAAGCTGCTCCTCCCTGGATACCCATATCTAATTAGAGAAAGTACAATTAAAGACACTAATATTGAGAAGGTGAAGATACTCTTTACTGGCCAGCGAGAGACGGTCTAGCATAGAGTTTACCTGAGAAATCGTCAGGCTTCCAGGGGTTGTACGCATTGGCCGTTTCCTGATGATCTCTAGATCAGAGGATTAACGGGTTAGCATGACACAATGGGAATGGAAATTTGACTGATGAGGATACCATAACAGCGAAGCGCAAAATCACCAGCGCTCTTGGATGTGCCGGGTTGTTTCCAGTTAATCAGAGAGTAGCCATCATCACTATCTTTATTGATTTTCATGACCTTTACTAACAGTCTGCCGATGGTTTTTTCTTTGAGGTGATAACTAATTTGCGGATCAGCATTAGAAAGAATAACGCTTCTACCTATATAGGTATAACATACACACTTCTATCCCTATCCTTTTCGCAGAGTATTAACCTAAGGGTAGGATATATGTCATTGCCAACTTCGTTACGCCAGCGAGAGATGAATCGGTCGATGATATTCCTGCGAATCTCATGAGGCTTTAATACTTTATTAGTCCCACGGATGCTCACTCCGGTCCTCTTCTTCTTATTCGCAAGGAGGGGCTCAAATAGGGAGAGGTAGAGATCCGCAAAAGGTAAGGTAGGGTTCTTATTTCTAGGTCGATTCGGGTATGCTTTATCAAGATCGGAGTCGCTGAGAATCACGTTGGGACCGAACGTATCACCAGAAGGGTCCACAGGAGCCCTTGGGATATCCGGAAGGTCAATATCATCGATATCAGACATCTTGAGCAAGGAGGAGAGCTGAAGGATGGGAATCAATTATGCGTCGCGGTGGATTGGAACTGGGTGGCCAAAAGCATATGAGGGTCAACATTGGAAGACGTGACTCACGGCAACGCGTTGAGGCTCAAATGAACAGGGCGATTGGTTGTATCGCAGGGTGGCGATACCGGTATCATAGGATATCGGCACGGTGCCTGGAAATAGAAATCAACCCCAAGAGCTCAACTTCAACCACTGCCCCCAAGCTCAACCTGCTGTAGAATTGTTTTACGTCATGACGTCTACGAGTAATCGAGTAGAGAATCGTAGAAAGATTTAAGGGAATTTCCACTTATAGCGAGACTGCGGTAGCGCAGTGTGAAGCTTTACCGCTTTTGTGTAGGGGCTGCTGAACCAACACTCCTCAAGCTAACTATATCAAGAAATATCTGGAAACACTACACCCAATGAGGTGATATGTTTACCGATCCTTGCCATATACTCGTATTATCAATCTGACCCAAGGAGGAAAGTGATCAATTGCTTAATAACCGACCGCGAATAATAAAACAAGCGTCACAATAGAGTATCATAAATTTATCCTAGCTGTTGATTTGCAGAGAGTCCAGCACTCGCATCACTTTTTGCCTTACGGCATTGTTGTCGCCAAAGGTAAAAAATACTGCACTGTACAACATTCTGAACCCTGTCAATTCTGAGGCAGGCGCACACCCCCACCCACCACCCCCCAAACCCCGCCGCCGCCCCGGAAACTTTCCTAAGACTTCTTCATATCACTTCGACCCTCCATCCTTCGAGAATCCATTTCATCCATTATTATGGCTGGTCGGGTAACTGTGCGTGCCGCCGTAGCTTCAGGTGGGTGAATGGACAAAACCTTCCAGAACGGATATTGGGCTCACAATTACTCGTGCAGATATACCAGTGATTCTGGAGATTATTAAGGAGTTGGCGCTTTATGAGAAAGAGCCAGACAAGGTACTCGCTACCGAGGAAAGCTTGCATGACACACTGGGGTTCAAGGAGGGCTCAAAGTGCTACGCGAAAGCCCTATTATTGTATGAGGGCGACGAGCCAGCCGGAATGGCGCTGTGAGTGTCATGCCATTACTATTAACGATTGTATGATAAGCGCGAGGTGGCGGGTCGCTGATGCAGAAGAGGACGTCGGGATAGGTACTTCAACAGTTATAGCACATGGAGGGCTAAGCCTGGAATATACCTGGAAGACCTGTTCGTAAGGTCTCAATTTCGCGGAAAGGGATATGGCACAACGCTCTTAGCGGCCCTAGCAAAAGAGGTATTAGAGATTGATGGGGCGAGACTAGAGTGGAGCGTTCTTAAGTGTATGTTGTCCTGGGGGAAACGATCTACTCGTAGGATGTTGTGAGAATTGACAATGATGGGAAAGGGAACGAGCCGTCAATAAAGTTTTACGAAGGAATCGGCGCAACGAACCTAGGCAAGGAATGGCAGCAGATGAGGGTAGACGGGGATGCTTTAGAGAATTTGGCTAGAAGAGGTGTGTTTGGAGACGGAAAGTGAGCGAATCGGATACAGAATTGGGTTAAGGAGGGAAGGGGGTTAGTCGAATTGCAAGAAAGATGTTTTCCTATGTCGGTCCACTATCGAAACTGTGCTTACCGTAATGTTGGGATAAGTAGGGTACAATACGCTGAGGTGGCACGTAGGATTTTTTTGTGATTTGGCTACTCTACTCGAGTACTCGTACATTGATACACTCGAGCACCGTAACTCAATTCTGGGGTTCTGGATGAGGAGGTGCTCTTTTTTTTCGCCCTGAGCCTAAAACTAGTTGATGATCGATGGCTATGTATGATACCGGTAGTGTACAATTACCGGGAGACCGACTCCCTCCGCAAGCACCCTTCCTTATCAACGGGTGTGCCAACCCGGCCTAGTTAAAGCTGGTGATTCTGTATGGGGGCTGCCGCCTCACTTGCCCAACTTTAATCCGACTGCGCTACTCGAGTAGCATTGGGATTAACTTGGAGCTTAATGCGATGCGGGGTCGGAGGATTTCGTTCAAACGTCGTCCCCCTTTTCTTCTTTTTGCGCATGATTTCCAAGCAGCGCCTCGATCTATCAGATTACCTGCCATGAGTATGGCCGATAAGCGGTAGACCGGGCAGGTATTGGGAAATCGTGATATTGTTACAAGTACTATTACAGATAAATGGTGCTAATACGGTAGGCGAACGAGGAGAAAGAGAGAGAGAGAGGTAAATGATGAGGGAACGCAGAGATATATGTCCAACGAATTTCATGTCCCACCAGGATTAACGATCGAATCCAAAAAGCTAGGAAATCAGGTAACCATGAAAAGAAAAACGGGAAAGAAGGAAAAGGTGGATATTAAAACAGATAATTTGTTCTCGAAGCAAACAGAAAAGAAGGGAAGGAAAAATGGAGAAGAAAAAAAAGGCAACACAATTGAAGAATTGCGAGGCACATTATTAAATTTTGTGTATAAATAGTGTAGGGAATAATATTTTGGTGGGATATCCTACCATCCCCATTTGTCCTGCCAATTGAACGCCTCCCTAAGGTCCAAAGTTTTACCAGTACTGGGCTTACTATTACAACCAAGCATACGAAAGCCATGAACCACCTACCCCCCCGCAGCCACCCAATCCAGCTCGATAGAAAAGTCCTTTCTGCCTAATGAAACCGTTAAATGGAAAAAAATAATTTTATGGAAATGAAAAACCAACAAACCCCACACAGTGATGAGTAGCCAGCACTCAAATCATGCCCAGAGCAAAAAAGAACCCCCAATCACCGCAATAGCCATACAGAACAACCGAAAGGCAACGCAAAATGCAAAATAATGACAAAAGCAAGGATAAACAAAGGAAAAGTAGAAAAGGAAAACCAAATGCGAATGAAAGGGGAAGGACGAAAGACAGTGGAAAGAAGGAATATTAACTCGCCATACCAAAAGGATCTATAGGTATCCAGAGATGCGGGCGGTGTTCCAACGGCCTTGTTGGGCCAATCACATTCCATCCGCTGCCGGTGGAACACCTTGCGCTAACGAAAAGTGCATCATTTGCTGCATATCCACATCGTCCTGATCCTCCACTGACGGGGAGTGGCCTGATAGAGCCAGGGACTGTTTTGAGTACAACTCACTCAATCCAACACCATCGTCCGAAAGAGGATTTTGTTGATCATATGACTCGGGGAACAATTCGGAGCTTGTGGATCGGTGCAGATGGGACAAAGGGGGTGAGGTGCTGGCGATCACCGGGTCACCATGACCCATCGAAATGGGAGAAACAGAAGTACCAACGGTGTTGGTTGGGTCGACCAGAGGCGAAAGGAAAGGCAAGCTGTATGGGGTACTATAACCAGCATTGTTGTTCAAATCATGCTGCAGCGAAGAGTTGATCATCGAGGGGCTGGCATAATCTGAAGGAGAGGTTGTGGTAGCGGCCGACAGGGGGTACGCCGATCCGGGCCTGTAGTCAAGGAATCCGGAAGAAGACGTATCAATGCGGAGAGGATTCGGGAGCCCCGAGTTGACAAGTGCGTGAGGATGCTGAGGGGCGGGAGCATAAAGATGGTCTTGAGCATCCTGGAATGAAAATGATGGCATATTCTGCTGGAGTTGAGAGAAGTCAATCGCAAGCGGAACAGAGCGGCTCCTAGTACGCCTGTGCTTCTGATGAAAGTTGTGCCCAGGGGCAGGGTCCTGTGGGTAACCAGGATGATTGTCAACATCGTTAGATGAGGCAGGCCGCACAATTTGGGGCGATACAGGAGCGGAAACCGAAAAGGTCGGGTTGTCATAAAACTGCTGCAAATGTGATTGGGCGTGAAGGTGTCTGTTCGCAAATACATCCAAGGTCATCAACTTCGTAAGTTGACTTTGGAGAATCTTTGGGTGCCCGCCAAGTTGATGGGTCAAGACTTGGGAAGCCTGTTGGTCCTCAGTAAAGTCACCACACTGGTAAAACCCGCCAGATCCAGATCCAGATCCGGACGAGTCCATGAAAAAGTTGGGTGGTTGGGTCAAGGTGATAACAAGCTGTCCCTGCTTCTGTGCTCCGTGGGGCGTGACCGGAGAATCTAAGCCCTCAATTTCGATATTCTTGATGTATGCGAATGGATACTCAATCTTATAGCCGGCCGAGTCATTGTTGATGTAGTAGGTGATACAAGCCTTCTCTGGCGAATAGAATATAACCAAGTCCATCGCGTTCTGCCCAACTCGACGCCACGACCCAATGCTCAATGAACGACATGTAAAGTGGTGGATCACTAATGAAGGTTAGTTGGATGTAACGAGTCTAGACCTACTTACTCAGCTCTTTGTCGTTGGGTAAAAAAACTGAAAAAC